GGTTTGGGCTTTGGAAAAGTTAGCAAACCATTATTCTTTTAAGAATCTTTAAAACCTCTAAAATTTAATTGGCCGGCCAATTAATTTTTAAGGATTTTTAAAATTTTAATGGCCTTAAAATCTTTAAAATCCTTAAAATCTAAATGGGCCAAGGTTTGGGCTTTGGAAAAGTTAGCAGACCATTAAATTTTTAAAAATCTTTAAAATCTTTAAAATTTAATTGGCCGGCCAATTAATTTTTAAGGATTTTTAAAATTTTAATGGCCTTAAAATCTTTAAAATCCTTAAAATTTAAATGGGCCAAGGTTTGGGCTTTGGAAAAGTTAGCAAACCATTAAATTTTTAAAAATCTTTAAAATCTTTAAAATTTAATTGGCCGGCCAATTAATTTTTATGGATTTTTAAAATTTTAATGGCCTTAAAATCTCTAAAATCCTTTAAATTTAAATGGGCCGAGGTTTGCGCTTTGGAAAAGTTAGCAAACCATTAAATTTTTCAAAATCGTTAAAATCCTTAAAAATTAATTGGCCGGCCAATTAATTTTTAAAGATTTTTAAAATTTTGATGGCCTTAAAATCTTTAAAAACCTTAAAATTTAAATGGGCCAAGGTTTGGGCCGGCCAATTAATTTTTAAGGGTTTTAAAGATTTTAAGGCCATTAAAATTTTAAAAATCCTGAAAAATTAATTGGCCTGCCAATTAAATTTTAAAGATTTTAAAGATTTTTAAAAATTTAATGGTCTGCTAACTTTTCCAAAGCCCAAACCTTGGCCCATTTAGATTTTAAGGATTTTAAAGATTTTAAAGCCATTAAAATTGTAAAAATCCTTAAAAATTAATTGGCCGGCCAATTAAATTTTAAAGATTTTAAAGATTTCTAAAAATTTAATGGTTTGCTAATTTTTCCAAAGCCCAAACCTTGGCCCATTTAAATTTTAAGGATTTTAAGGATTTTAAGGCCATTAAAATTTTAAAAATCCTTAAAAATTAATTGGCAGGCCAATTAAATTTTAAAGATTTTAAAGATTTTTAAAAATTTAATGGTTTGCTAACTTTTCCAAAGCCCAAACCTTGGCCCATTTAAATTTTGAGGATTTTAAAGATTTTAAGGCCATTAAAATTTTAAAAATCCTTAAAAAATAATTGGCAGGCCAATTAAATTTTAAAGATTTTAAAGATGTTTAAAAATTTAATGGTTTGCTAACTTTTCCAAAGCCCAAACCTTGGCCCATTTAAATTTTAAGGATTTTAAAGATTTTAAGGCCATTAAAATTTTAAAAATCTTTAAAAATTAATTGGCCGGCCAACTAAATTTTAAAGATTTTAAAGTTTTTTAAAAATTTAATGGTTTGCTAACTTTTCCAAAGCCCAAACCTGGGCCCATTTAAATTTTAAGGATTTTAAAGATTTTAAGGCCATTAAAATTTTAAAAATCCTTAAAAATTAATTGGCCGGCCAATTAAATTTTAAAGATTTTAAAGATTTTTTAAAAATTTATGGTTTGCTAGCTTTTCCCAAAGCCAAACCTGGCCCATTTAAATCTTAGGATTTTTAAAGATTTTAAGGCCATTTAAATTTTAAAATCCTCAAACAAAAATTGGCCGGCCAATTAAAGTTTAAAGATTTTAGAAGCCATTCAAATATTGAAACCTTTAAACTACTTGAAAGGCAGATATTCGAAATACGGATCTCTGTGGCAAAGAATTATAACAACGAAGCCGAATGCCCAAAGAGAGCAAAGGTCCTGGTCCTACGTATATAATATATATAAAATATAATTAAATTAAATATGAAATATATAATATACTTAATTGATATCTTATAAAAGATTATAATTATTATTAATAGATATATAATATAATAAGAATATAAATATAATATATAATATAATATAATATTAAATCATATCGATAAGATGAGTAATAAAGTAATATACTATAATCTAATATCTATAGTATAAGATGAATATGATATAATAATATATATATATAGATAATAATTTTATATAATAGAATTTAATATAATAAATTATAAGATCTATAGTTATAATATACTAATGTTGATATTGATATGAATATATACTATGAGATAAATGATATAGAATGATATAATTAATAATTATATAAAAAATTTGATTATAGACATAATCTGCTATTAATAAAATGTACTAAATGATATAAATATAATATAATAAATATAATTATAATTATAATATAATATAATATATTATAATATAGATAAGATAATTAACATTAATATGATAATATAAAAAATATAAAAAATAGATAGTATAAGATAGATAATATAACATTAATATAAAATACTTGATATGATATGATATGATATACATAATATGTAGGATTATATGATATGCTATATATATTTATTTATATATCATATCATTCATATAATTATTGTCATATATTAATTACGTATATTATTTATATTAGTGATATATATTATATTTATTATTGTATTTTATTGTTATAATATATATCATATCATATCATATCATATATCATATGGGATATTATATCATATTATAATATGTTAATATATTATATATTATGATCTATTTAATGTTATATTTATTATATTATATTATTTATATGATTAGACCAAGCCCGAAGCAAAGCCAAGCCAAGAAACCGAGAACACGAGCAGCCCGAAGCCCAGACGCCAAGGAATCCAAGAAGAAGAGAAACAAAACCCCCGTACGACATAAGGAGGCCGTTGCTCGAAGCTAGACAAGTATACAAAGTTCACGAGGTGAAAAGAGAAGCCAGAAGCCAGACGAAGCCAAAGCCAAGGAATCAGGAAGCTGAGCAGCCAAAGCCAAGAAGCCAAGCGAAGCCAGAAGCCAAAAAAAAGCGAGCACACAGCCAAAAAAAAAAAAATCCAAAAAAAATCCCCCAAAAGACGCCTCCGTTTCCTTTTATGTCCCCAAGATAGTACGTCACCCATATAAACAGGACCCTAAAAGGGACCTCATTGAATGCACCGTATAAGTCCTTGTACGTATAGTTTACCTAATACAACCCTAGTTACAAGTCCCATGACCTTTAGTAATTTAGAGATAACCATGCTGGTTTCTTGTGGCCTCCAACAACTGAGCCCACGACAACGGCCCCTGAACCCTCGACGTTGCAGAAACTACTCAAAGGGTCATGGGACTTAGTAACAAGGGTTAATAATAGGGTAACGTATTATAATTACTTATTGCCAATCAGGGTACTTATAAGTAGCTCCTTTTGGGGGCTCATATTTGAACCTATAAGGTAATCCCAAAAAGGAACTAGTTGGGCCTATTGGGTAGTTCTATGCAGATCTGCAAGCACTGAAAAGCACAAGCCTTCACAGGGGGGTACCGCCAGCCTTAGCCTTGGTAGCCCCAAAAGAAGCCTACACAACCCATTACTATTTGCTTAGAACCCCCAAAAATACAAAATATATTCCTTATGGGGGTAATATAGGGGACTTATTTTTTATTTTTGGGGGTTTCTAAGCAAATAGTAGCCTGCCTCAAGTGATGAATGTACCTCACCCCAAAAGTCCTGACATTGGGGGCAACAATGAAGGAGTCCTGAGACCCCCAAAGAGAATCAAGGGCTCTTCGTAGGAGATTCCGCAACCCTCCTAAGGAGATACCTGGGTTTATGGGAGGGTTAGGGTTTAGGGTTCTTTGGTTTAGGGGTTAGGTCTTAGGGTTTATGGGGTTAAGGGTTTAGGGGTTTAGGGTTTAGGGTTTAGGGTTTAGGGTTTAGGGTTTAGGGTTTAGGGTTTAGGGTTTAGGGGGACCCTTAAGGTAGACCATCGTGTATTGCTTCATTGGCCCTGGGTGGAGTCCCTACTTGGGGTTCATGGGTAGTTACTTGGAGGATCATGGGACTTAGTAAGTAGGGTTATAGGTACTCTAGTTGGGGCTATAAGTAATTATAACCCTAGTTACTAAGTCCCATGACCCTTTAAGTACAAGTGGGGTTATAAGTCCCCTAATTACGGTTATAACTATAATTGTCCTACTTATACCCCCGCTCATAAATAACTAGCCATGAACCTCCAAGTAAACCTCCAACCCTCAAAGCAAGCTTTAGGAGCTGGGGCTTTTAAACTCTTAGGGCTCCGAGGTGTAAGCTTCTGGAGGGTATGGGGCTTTTTAGTTAACAATGCCCCTCTTAGGACCATAAAAGGAATTCTGTGTTTTAATATTCTCTTAGGTTTTATATGAACAATATACTTACTTATAACCCCAATCAGGGTACTTATAAGTAGCTCCTTTGGGGGGCTCATATTTAGAATCCTATATGCAATAATTTAAAAATCATTCCTAAGGAGACTCTCGTTTTGGTTGTGCTAGGGTTCAGGGGTCAGTTCGAGGTCGGGGCAATAGCGACAGCACCATCCAGGCCCAGTAAGCCGGTGGTTGGTTTAGGGGCTTAGGGTTTAGGGGTTTAGGGATTTAGGGGTTTAAGGGTTTAGGGGTTTAGGGTTTAGGGGTTTAGGGGCTTAGGGGTTTATAAGGGTTTAGGGGTTTAGGGTTTAGGGGTTTGTAGGGGGGTCAAGCTTGAATTTGGCCTTGACCATTCAAACTGGTAACCCTGCAGAACTGCAACAAGGTGTACATCTTCATATCGGAATACAAAGAAGGCCTCTCCTATACGGTCTACAGTATGCCATCCTAAACCCTATCATTGGCTGTGCAGTCAGTTCCCCGACCCAAGCAAACACACGTGAGGCACCGGCTCTACGTGCACAGGATGATCTAAACCCTAAACCCCAAGCCCTAAATCCCTTATCCCTAAACAGTACACCCTGGGATGGTGGTCGAGCCTAAGGACGACATGGCATTATGAAACGGGGTTTAAAGTTTAGGGTTTAGGGCCCAGAGTTGAAGTTGAGGGTTCAGGGCTTAGGGTGTTGGGTTTGGGTGAGCACCTATGCCCTAAGCCCTAGGGTGGTGGTTCAACCTAAGGACATTGAGCCCTACCCATAGCTGTCACCTCGAGAACCGACTGGCGCTGGTAGATCTGCTCCCAAATCTCTTCCTGGGCTTGGGGTTTAGTTTAGGGCTTAGGGTTTAGGGTTTAGGGTGGAGGGTGGAGGGTTTACCCATAGGCCCCAAAGTAGTTCCTTTTTGTGCTTACCTTATAGGATTCTAAATATGACCCCCCAAAAGGAACTACTTGGGGCCTTAGGGTAGGTTTAGGGTTTAAGGTTTAGGGCTTAGGGCTTAGACTTTGGGGGGAGCTTCAGTTTTCAGGCCGAGAGTTTTGGGGCTTAGGGTTTGGGACCAGGGTGTTGGGTTCAGGGTTTAGGCTTCAAGATTTCAGCCTTAAGGTTTCATAGAAGTATACAGCAAACTCCACCACTATGGGCTATTAAACCTTATGGGTACCTTAATCTACCCTTAATAGGGTCCTAATAGGGATCTTTAGGGTCTAATAGCCCATAGTGGCAAGAAGTTGGAAACCTAATTAAGGACAAACAGTGCTGGGATTCCCTATACTTTACTCGTAGGGATCGAGGCTATCGGGTTTCCAACTTTTGGCTTCTACTGTAATGATGTGTTCATGACGCCGGAATCTTGGGTGGGGGGGATGACCTCGGGAATTGAGCTCGACCAGAAACTGCTCGATCTGGAATTGCTGAACCTTAACCCTACTTGTCGGGTATCAGGGGGAACTAAAGGTTAGCCTGTTTGGGTATATAGGAGTTATGTAGGGGCTATACGACCCACAAAAAGTTAAACGTTACCTACTCTACTACTAGGAAATCCTAAACCCTCAACCCCGAAACCCTAAACCCTTTCAGTGTTTATCAAATTAGGGTTTAGGGGTTTAGGGTTTAGGGGTTTAGGGTTGATTAGATTAGGGTTGCAACTCTGGCAAGGCGCCAGTCGCTTCTCCTTCTCAGCGCTTGTCTTGCGCGACTCCGCCTGCAGGGAAAAGGGTGAAGAGGAGGCAAAACAGTGGTTTAGGGTTCCGGGTTTAGGGCTTAGGGCCTAAGTATTATATAGGCACATCGAGCTTTAGGGATAAGGGTTTAGGGTTTAGAGTTTGGGGTTTAGGTTCTAAGGCTAAACTCTGTCAAAGTTTGTGGTTTAGGCTTTTCGGGTTTGGGTAGTGAACCTGAACCTACATCCTCGCAAATCCTTCAGTTCACAGGACGGGAATTGGTATAGCTGCTGCACACCTCTTCTGCCTTACTTCCCCAATATGCCACGAAAATGAGAGCTTAACCTGTCCGATTCCCGCTAAACTATAAGAACCCCAGAAGTTTATTAGTTGGGTTTTGGAGAACTAAGAAACGACACATTCAATTCCTGGACCCAAGAGTAGCCTAGGAACAAAAAGGGTGCCCTTTTTGGTTTAAAGGGGCTTATAAGGGAACCTGAACCCTAAAAAAAGGGAATAAGGGCCTACTCTAGGTCCGAGATTCAGGGTCCTTCGAACTCCTCTGTGCAAGTTTTGGTCATTGCGATCGTCTAACAACTCTACGACCTCAACAGGGCCCTAAGCATCCTGCCCCGTGCTACAGGAACCATGACTAGACCTAGGAGTAACCTAGGAATAAAAAGGATGCCCTTGTTGGTTTAAAGGGGCTTATATGCGCCCGCGCTCCGCGTTCTCGACCCCCCCCCCCCCCAATGGTATCCCCCCCCCCCCCGACCCGGGCGACCACACAACAAGAACAAGAACAAGAACAAGAAGAAGAAGAACAGCAGCAACAACAAAGCAGCAGCAACCACGCGGAGGAACCACAGGAACCACAGGGGGGGAGGGGGGAGACAGGAACCAGAAGAACCACAAAAGGGAGGGGGAAAACCAAGAGGAACCACAGGGGGGGGGGGGAACCACAGGAACCACAGGGGGGGGGAGGGGGATTACCATGGGGGGGGGGGGGGGGGGGGGGTGCGCGGATGCTGGCGCATATAAGAAACCCTCAAAAAGGGAATAAGGGCATACTCTAGGTCCTAGAGGAACCATGATGTTTCCGACTGCAAACCCTTGCGCCTTAATTAAACTCTAGGAACCTTTGTTGACACTGCGGGCTCCAATATCCAACCCTGAGCCCAGGACCCATAACCCCCAAACCCTCAATCCGAAAAAATGTTGAAAATCAAATCCAAATCGCCATACATTTACGAGGTTCCCAACACGTCAGGAACTCTAACCAAAGGATCCGCAATTTTGAGAAACCCGTAAACCCTAAACGTCCCAAGCCACAAAACCTAGAACCCGAAGTCGTAAGCCACTAAACTCTGAACCCGTACACCCAACCGAAAACCCGAACACCGACCAACCCTTAAACCCTAAACCCTTAACCCCTAATCAAGCCCAAAACCCCGTAACCTGAAACTATACTTGAAAAAATCGGGGAACTTAACAAGTAAGAAATATCTAGACTCATAAGTACCCGACAAGGGGCCCTAACCGGGGTTGTGATACTTATGCGTCCAGAAAACAAACTACCTACGAAGTTCCCGGCCCACCAAGCAGAGACTCTTATAGATGGGTGGTTGTCAAAAATATGGTCCTTTTGGGGTTCCTAGTATAATACGGCACCTATTATTTAGGGTACCCAAAAAGGAACCCTAATTTTGACAACTACCCAGATCCCTTGAAGGATCCCTTTAAGGCCCCTATATTGAGCCCAGACTTCGCGTCCTCGCCCCCGTCCGGGCCTCCGTCTCGTGAGCCTCCGCTAGCTCCGATGTCAGGAGTTGCAGGCCTCGGATAGGGTTCCTTTACAGTAGAAGCCCGAAAGTTGGAAACCCAATAGCCTCAATCCTTAAGAGGAATGTATAAGGAATCCCAGCTCTATTTGGCCTTAAGCCGGTTTCCAACTGTATGGGGTTTACTGTAAAGGGATCTTAAAGGGTTCCTCAAAGGGATGAAGGGGTCTAGGAGTTTTGGGGTTTAGGGGTCTAGAGGGGTTAGGGCTTTAGGGTTGAGGGTCTACTTGGAGGGTCGGGGCTTGGTAGCTAGTTATTTGGGTACCTATAACTCTGGTTTCAGGGTTCAGGATTTAGGGTTTAGCTGTTTAGGGTTTTAAGCTTTTGCTTTAGGGTGTAGGCGGTTTAGGGTGTGGGTTTAGGGTTTGGGGTTTAGGGGTTTAGGGTTTACGGTACTTGGAGAGTCGGGGGACTTAGTATGCGGATAATTTATGTATGGACGTATGTACAAGTATCATAACCCCAATTAGAATCCCTTTTAGGGTACTTAGTATGTCTGCTTGCTACCCACTAGCGACCCCCAAGTAGATACTTCAGAGTGTTGTGTATGGAGTCTTTTTCAAGGGTTCAGAAGGATTGCATAAGGTCATCTGAGGGTGTTGAAATTCGGGTGTCATAAGCATTCTATAGAATGTTGATAGCTGGCTCTTTATAAAGTACTCCAGGGTTTCAGGGTTTAGATTTCTATACGGTGCTGTAGGGGTTTAGGGTTCTATGTGGAGGGATTCATGAGCTTTACAGGATGTGACACGGGTTTAGGGCTTAGGGTGTCATAAAGGCTTTCGGGTTTATGTAGACGGTCTTCATAGGGTTTTACACAGCATTTTGTAGGCTTTCAGGGCTGCATACGGTTTCCTGTTGTTGTGGTAATAGGACATTCTAAGAGCTTAGGCTTGGGAGCTTGAGGTATTATAAGGGCTTAGGGTTTTAATATGCAAATGGGGGCAGAAGGTTTTCTGGGCTTTCTCAGGAATTGATGGTCGTTTCATAAGGTTTCGAACATGGCTGTCATTACGGCCTCATGAGGCTTTGATTAGGGCTTTTGGGGGCTTGAGCAGGGAGTAGACCATGTCGATCCCTGATCACTAGCCCGTTTCTTTAAGGCCCTGTATATTCGCATCCTAATTATAATCCTTGTTCACCAGGGGCCTGGATCAACGCGGCTTAGTTTCGAGACATCTGAGGACGGTTCACGGTCCTGCGGCGTCCAGGTTGGGGCGGTGTAGGATTCAGAATCTCGAGCAGGGTCTCGATGTTTGCCCAATGCACGTTTAGCAAACGCCAAAGACATCCTTGCTTCTGTCGGGGGTTCCAGCGAAGACCCAAACCCTGAGTTTAGGATTTATGGTGTTTAGGTTTGGGTTTAGGATCCAGGAACCAAAATCTCAAAGCCCTAAGGTATCTAAGCTACGACAAGGTCGTAATTAATTTGGTTATATAATTATTTAAAAAAACAACTTTTAAAGGGGAGCGGTTGTGGCCCCGGCAGCCGCCGCGGATCTGGGCAAATCAGGAGCAGCATCATGATGGTGCTGGCGCAGATACACGTCCACAACATAGGGTTTAGGGTTTAAGGTTTAGCTGGCCAGGCCATCGCTATAACTATTCCCCAGCAAGACCTGGGCAGCCTTGAGCGTCTGCAGTGCGGAGCCCGACGCGTCTGCATGAAGAGCTCCAGTGCAGCGGTCTCCGCGCCAGCCAGCAGCGCCTGAGGCGTGGAGATCGCATTCTGAAGCTGGCTAAATCCCGGAGGCTCCATGTACCTTTATAGTAGGTACTTAGGCCCTAAAGGGGTCCCTTTATAGGCACTTATGGCCTAAGTATGCCTAAGTATATACTATATATGGGTACATGGAGCCTTATAGGGATCAGCCTCCCGCGCCGCAAGTGTGATCTTGGCGTCCAAGGAGTGGACCGCGAAGCGGCCCACTACGGCCGCCATGCGGCTGATGTCAAACTGGATCTCGCGTCCCAAGCCCAACTCAACACCCCAAACCCGAAAACCTAACACTTGCAGAAACCCGTTGTAGAGCTTTTTTGCTACGTCTCGAAAAAACACACCTTTACAAAAGATCTGGTGCACACCTGACAAAACCCCAACAAAAACACAACGATGCACACCCTAGACCCGAAACCCTAAGAAGACTCAGCCTAAGTCCGACCCTAAGCTACCATAACCTACCCTTCGTAGGTTGTGATACAAACCCTATAATATGCAACTTCTAGTCCAAACCCGAAAACCCTACCTTACTCCCCCGATAAGCCAGGGACATAAAAGGTTAAACTTTCCGATCTCTACTTCATCGTTGGGTATTGAGGATCTAAGAATACGGAACGTATAGCCCAAACCCGAAGCCCTAATCCACGAACCCTGAACCTCTGCCAGGCCAGGGGACGCTCCTCCCGCTGCTGCAGCGCCGCGCGCCGGCGCTGAATGAGGCTCTGACGCTCGTCGAGGTCCGCCTCCTGCAATAGAGGTAGTTGGGGTTCTAGGGTCGGTTTAGGGCTTAAGGTTGTCCAAGGGTTTCGATATTGCGCCTTGGGCGTTGAACGTGCTCCAGGGCCTTAAGTCTATGGCTTGGCTTTGGTGCACCCCAAGGTTCCAGGTACCCAATAACCATATACTCGCCCAAATCCTAAAAGAAACACTATCCCAAAGCCCCAAAACTACAACCCAGATATTCTAGGGCCCTAATATAATCCTTATAGTCACTACCCCAAGAGTCCAAGTACCCAATAATCATATACTCTCCCAAATGCTAACCTACATAACTACTATCCTAGAACCGAGCACCCGATTATTGGGTCCTTTGGACCCTTGGGGGTATGCAATGCAAGTTTTCATCTTGTCCGGCTAGGATGCTAGCTAGTTGAGGAGTCGGCACTTGAGGAAATACCTGGGGATCCAAAAACCTATTGTTTTAGGCGTTAGACACTCTAATTAATCAAATCCAGGGGTCATGACCTACACTTTCGTAGGGTTTGGGGCCACAGGTAGACGCTGACACATACAAAGGATCCTGAAACCTCTCACGTACACTTCTGGGGTGAGGGTCTTGAAGTTGTCCAAGCGATTCAGAGCGAGGCTTATACGCTCACAACACCAGAACAAAAAACGAGACCGCAAAACCCCGAAAATTAATACCCTGAAAAAGCCTAAAAGGCCCCAACCATAAACCCTACCCACCACCCCTCCCCCACCACTTCGTTAAAACAACAGTAAAATAGGCCCCGCCTTGGTTTGCATTTCTCTGCGCAGCGGCTCCAGGCGTGTCTGCCAAGCCCTCACCTCCGCGCGAAGGGCCTCCAAAGGCAATTACTGTGTTGTTTTCTCTAGTCTTGGGTTTAGGGTTTGGGGTTTGCAGGTTTAGGGATGATTGCGTTTATCTTTTATCTTGGGCTTAGGGTTACGTAAGGGTTTGGGGTTTGCAGATTTAGGGATGATTGCGTTTTTCTTTTATCTTGGGCTTAGGGTTACGTAAGGGTTTGGGGCTTGCAGATATAGGGCTGATATCCTGAGTCGTTTCAAAAGAAAAACTTTTGAAGGGGTTGATACTGCTGATGGGCAAAATCCTGCATGACCCTAAGGACTCTAAACTATGGGAACTATGGTATATTCCTTTTAATGGGTAATGCAGGATTTTGTCCATCAGCAGTAAGGGATTGAGGTTCTGCATGAATTCTTGATAAGGGTTCTTTACTGGGTTGGAGTCTAAGGCCTATGGTTTGGGAGATTAGGAAACGGAAACCCTAAACCCTTAAAATGTTTGTTTTGGGTTAGAAGGGCTTGTGATGGGAGGCCAACAGGAAGGTTTAAGATGCTTGGGGTAGGGATTCCTTAATATGAACCCTATTCTGGGAACCCTAACCCCCACTAAACCCCCATAGGCTAAAACCCCTTTTGGCCTCCTCTGAGCTTGAGGCCTTGAAGAAGACTTGACTTCTTCACTAGTCTGAGGACATGCCGTAACACTCGAAGCTTCTTGGGTGTGGATCCTTTAGGGTTTAGGGTTTCGGATTTGGGGTTTAGGATTTAGGGTTGAGGGTTTAGTATCTAGGGTTTACGGTTTAAGCTAGATCAATGGAAATACAACTACAAAGAACAGCGGCAGAATCACTTAGAAGACAAACTTGAAAGTCCAAGAAAGCCTCTGTAGAACCCTTTCAAAGCCCCACGATGGCCAGCCCGCATGAGCCCTCAAAAAACCTGTGAAACCCTAAACGCAGGATCCCTTCTTCATGGTTGTTGAACCCCGAACCCTATAAACCCTATAAACCCTACAAACCCTATAAACCCTATTAGCCCTATAAGCCCTATAAACCCTATAAGCCCTGTAAGCCCCATAAACCCTATAAGCCCTATAAATCCTAAAACCCTAAACCCTGTAACCCAAAACCCCAAAACCCGAAAACCCTCAAAGCCCTAAACCCTAAACCTTAAACGAAGGATCCCTTCTTCATGGTTGCTGCTGCCTAAACCCTACACCCCAAACCCTGAACCCTAAGCCCTAAACCCCAAACGAAGTTGTGGTTTGTTGCTGCCTCAAGCTGCTCGCGCGCCACTTCTAGCGCCTGGTGGCTGTCCGGATTAAACCCCGGCCAATTCGTCTTGGGCCTTGTTGTTTATGAGGGTTCTGTAGGGTTCCTTTGAGGGTGCCTTTAGGGTTTAGGGTTTTGCGGGTTTTTTGAGAAATCTTAGGGTATATCAGGGTTCTATACTTAGAGAGTCGAGGGACAGTAAGTAGGTAACAAGGGATCCTCGTTGGGGTTATGGGACTTATAAGTGTCCAAAATAGCTAGTTACTGGGTCCGGTATCAAGAATTGCAAAGCAGTTCGGCAAGGGTTCTACAAGCTTTCAGGGCTCTGGGTTCGGGTTTAGCATTTGAGGCTTTAGGGTTCAGCCTCGTCGAGCTTCTAGAGAAAACCCCGAGGGTTTGGGGTTTAGGGGTTTAGGGTATCCTTGATTCCCAAACTGAAAAGATTGGACCCTCACCCTCTTCACAAGGCATAGCACAACATCTCCCCCGAGACTCCTAACCCACTAAATGAAACAACACCAACTTAATTAAACCATATTCGGGACCCCACGTACTGTAGTTTACGGGATTCCGGGATACTCCTTACTTAAGTAAGGGGTTTTGGACCCGCAAGGCCTTTCAACCTCAAACCCCGCAACCACGATCCGACAAAGTGTGGACCTCTCACGAAAAAGAAGCTCAACTCCCAACCCTATTAGGGTTTAGGGCTTAGGGCTTAGGGTTTAGGGTTTAAGGGTTTAGGGGTTTACGGGTTTAGGGTTTAGGGCTTAGGGTTTAGAATCACTGCACACAGACCCGGCAAAACCTCAACCTCTTTCTTAAACTCTTAAAACCCCCAGCGAGCCTATCCAGGAAGACCTCTATCATTAGTTTCATGCCAGAATGTTCCTGAGCTAGAGATAGGGATCCCTAAGATCATCATATTCCTCTATGACAGTGTAGCGGGCTCCCTAGGGTTTAAGGTTAAGGATACCAGCCTCTCGACGCTCTGCCACCTGTCGAGTTAAGGGTTCGGAGTATGTGGTCGCGGTGGTGTGAGATTTAAGGGGAGGCGGATCACGAATGGCAAGAAGGGGTTATATCTCAGCCCGAAATCGAAAAAAACACGGCTCCATCCAAACTGCAAATGGCAAAACTTCCCGAATATTCTTCCGCTGGCAGGTGCTCTGGCAATGAGATTAATGCAGACGGAGGAGAGGCTTCAGAAATTAGAGGAAAAGCGGTATCATCCTAAACCCTGCATTGTCTTTTTTGCGTGCCGTCGGGGAAATAAACAGAGCGTAAGTTTACTGTTGGGGGACCTGGTCGTTGAGGTGAGTTTGTCCAGCATAAGCAGGACTCTATTGGAACTGGACTCTCCTCTAGTACAAAGTGCCGCAAAGTCATGACTGCTGCAAAATTGCTCGTGGAAAACAAGGTCTTGGATCTAGAGAAGCACAATGCCTCATCAGTACAAACAACGATGCCAGCCTGGGAACATCTTATGTATGCAGAAACAACTTTTGACATCAACGGGAAAAGTCCAGCAAACTATCCCAGCATCAGGACACTGGCCACGCTGTGGCAGCCCATGCCTGATGAACCCCAAAGCCCGCAAATCCCAACTTTTGAAAGCTGCATGCAAATGATAAAGACCACGCACGCATGCATAACAAGCATTACACAACCTTCACTACGTTGTAAACCCTGCAGCATCTCGAAGTCCCAAGACCTTAGTAGATTAAATCGCCAAATCAAAACGCTGCGATTTTGGAATCGCAAGTGCAAATCGCTTCCTATTCGTTCTTTTCCAACGGTTGGGAACGCCAAAGCGCGATTTGGGTTTTCAGTGCCAAATCGCTGCTTATGCTGCCTTGGACCAGAAATCGGTTCCATGATTCTTGCAAGCTTTGGAAAACTCATTCAGCCTGTGTTGCGCCCTACGAAGTTGCCATTATTTGAGAAGTTCGAGTTCAAGGCGGTTTTGGAAAAGCCTCAGACAGGGCGCGGCGGAACGGAACGGAACGCGAACGGAACAGAACGCAACAGATACATGGTAAAAGGCAAGAAACGCAGTTTCTCCATTGCGCCCCAAGTCGTGTCCTGGTGCAGGTGAGGGGAGGGGGGGCGGAGGGGCGGGTGGGCGGGTGGGCGGGGGGCGGGCGCGGGGTGGGCGGGCGGGGGTTGGAGGTGGGGTTCGCAAATGAATTTTCCAGGCTCTGTTCATTGGCGGGGCGAGGCTTTCGAGTGGGGGTTCCGGAAAGCGGGATTCACGAGTGATTTTTCCAGGCTCTGTAAAAATCATTGGCGGGGCGAGGCTTTCGAGTGGGGGTTCGGGAAAGCGAGATTCACGACTGATTTTTCCAGGCTCTGTAAAAATCATTGGCGGGGCGAGGCTTTCGAGTGGGGGTTCGGGAAAGCGGGATTCAATGATTTTTCCACGGCTGGAAAAATCATTTGCCCTGTCCGGGCAATCGCATCAAGCCTTCATATCACAAAACGGAACGGGAGAGAACCACGGCAAAACAGTTTTTGTGGGGTTCGTCAAAAACCATTGAGGTTTGAGAGAAATTACAATCTCAGCTCCAATGGATCTGAAGTTGAAATACCCTCGTCAATCCTCATCGGCTCGTTCAAGCACATAGGTCATTTCAAGAAGCTACCGGGTGTTTGAAGTCTCAACAGTTATGTTCAAGATCACATCGGCAACTCCTACTTTATGAGCTCTATACATACCCATCCAAATCGCGCGATTCGGCTGAACCCAAAACGCGGCGATTTGAAAACGCCGCGATTCTAACATCTAAGCCCAAGACCCCGAAACCGCTGAACCGCCCTTGAACGCTGAACCTAAACCAGCATGTATAATACATATATATATACATAGATACACACACACATATATATATATATGTATCTATATTATATATATATACATGTATGTATTGCATATAATATGTAACTATATGTTTATATGTATATGCAAATTTGTCTGCAAGCCCAAAGCATCTTTAGGAGACTTCCTTACAACCCTTGATCAAGACGTTCATAAACCCCAGCACAACAAGATCAAAGCTTCGACCTAATGCCCTAAACCTGTTTCAAAAACAAGCCAATGGCGACTCGGGTGAGTGAGGCCAGATAAGGACATGGGTGCTTCGACCGGCTGCAGAAGAGCCAGCAAAAATCATAAACCCTCCAACAGCCTCGCTCCAAAGCCCAAAATGACTTCAATGCCTTTGCGCTATCACACCCTAACCCAAAACCCCCCCAAGACTCTAAACCCTAAACCCCTAAACCCTAAACCCCTAAACCCCTAAACAATAAACCCCTAAACCCAAAACCCTAAACCCTAAACCCCTAAACCCTAAACCCCTCAACCCCTGAAGCCCCTAAACCCTAAACCCTAAACCCCTAAACCCCTAAACCCCTAAACCCCTAAACCCTAAACCCCTAAACCCTAAACCCCTGAAACCCAAACCCCTTAAACCCCTAAACCCCTAAACCCTAAACCCCTAAACCCCTAAACCCCTAAACCCCTAAACCCCTAAACCCTAAACCCCCTAAACCCTAAACCCTAAAAACCTAAACCCTAAAACCCCTAAACCCCTAAACCCCTAAACCCCCTAACCCTAAACCCCTAAAACCCCTAAACCCCGAACCCCTAAACCCCCCCCTAAAACCCTAAACCCTAAACCCTAAACCCTAAACCCTAAACCCCTAAACCCCTAAACCCCTAAACCCCTAAACCCCTAAACCTAAAAAACCCTAAACCCTAAACCCTAAACCCCTAAACCTAAACCCCAAACCCCCTAACCCCTAAACCCTAAACCTAAAACCCTAAACCCTAAACCCCCTAAACCCCTAAACCCCTAAACCCCTAAACCCCCTAAACCCAAAACCCTAAACCCCAAAACCCTAAACCCCAAAACCCTAAACCCCTAAACCCAAAACCCCTAACCCCTAAACCCCTAAACCCCTAAACCCTAAACCCCTAAACCCAAAACCCTAAACCCTAAACCCCTAAACCCCTAAACCCCTAAACCCCTCAACCCCTGAAGCCCCTAAACCCCTAAACCCCTGAAACCCCTGGAGCCCCCAAACTTCAAACCGCAGAGCCCATCCCAAACCATAAGCAGCTATCGGCTCCCCTGCTTAAAGGGTCATGGGACTTAGTACCTAGGGTTCCTTAAAGGGGTCCCTTTTAAAGGGATCTATAGGGGTTCCTTAAAGGGATCTATAGGGTTTAGGGTTTAGGGTCTACTTAAAGGGTCATGGGACTAAGTAACTAGGGTTATAATTAAGGTAACTATACTTATAATTACGTATAACCCCAGCTCAATTAGGGTACTTATAACCCTACTTACTAAGTCCCGTGATCCTCCAAGTGAGCGCGCCTTGGCACGGAGTGCCTCGGAGGAGATCGGGGGTGTCTTGCCCTGCTCCGACTCCTGAAAGCGGTGAGAGGTTTAGGGCTTTGGGGTTTAGTGGTTTAGGGGTTTAAGGGTTTAGGGTTTAGGGCTCAAGGCTCACAGCGGGATAGGGCTTCCCTGGACTCCGAATAACCTGCCGTTTTAGGATTCTCGACTATGATTTCTTTATGTAAGTCCTTAAAAGGCAGGTTATTTGGGGTGTAGGGATTTGGGCTTATCGAGAAGTCCATAATGAACACTGCATCAGCAAGCTCTTCCGGACAACCCATTTTCCTGAAGAAGCCTGAACCCACTCCACGCATCAAAACACCGGGTGTTTCCAAGCTTTCAACGCTCCACCACACCTTATGAGCCCTGAACCCTGAACCGCGAAACCCTGGTGAAGAGCCCTGAAAGGAGCACCTAATTATCCGAAATCTATCGAAATCTTAAGTGAATCCTTTGCAGATACCGTATGAACTGTCCCACCTCGAGCTCCGTCAGCGCCGTCCGCTCTTCCACGAAGCTGGCACGCTCCCTTTCCACCTCGTTTTGAGGGTTTGCGGTTGAGGGTTGAACCCAAAGCTCAAAACGCGCTAAATACCCTGGAACCCCTAAACCCCCTGAACCCCCAAACCCTATGGTTTTTGGAGAAGGCTCCGCTCCTGTCCGTCTTGTTTTTGGGGCGGCCCCTTAGGATCCTTCCTCACAGTTTGTACCCAGAGGGTCCAAACATGCTACGGTTGATGATATAAATCCTGCATGACCTTAAGGACCCTAAACTATGGGAAAGATGGTCTATTCCTTATTATGGGTCATGCAGGATTTATATCAGCAACCGTACAATTACCGAACTAGGTCCCGAAAGACCTTCCCTACTATGGCTTTGGGGCCCTAATTCCACAATGCCCCCCCCGTGCACACTTCTCAACCTCAAACCCCACAAACGGGCGCGCTGTCGGGATTTAAACGAGAAGACACCCAGCGTCTGAGGTATATCTTGGGGCCCACTAACTGAAGGGGTTGAGCGTAGAAGTTCACATTCCACTATGATCATTGCGCCTCCGAGCGCCTTTGCGCGGCTGGCACACTTGGTTGCCGCGCTCTCCATCGCCTCTTTGGAGAAACCAACGCACGCTCCGCACGCGGAGAATCCACAAAACAAGGCATGCCTTGCTCCCTGTAGTCATTGACGGCAATTTCGCCGAGCTCAGCAACTCCAATCAGGGACGAGAAGCTCGTCCCGTGGCACATCACCGCGGCATGCTCGGAATTGGGGTTCCGAACGTAACTCGGTCCCCTGAGCTTCTTCAGTCCCCGCATCAGGAAGCCCTAAACCTACTTGTCGGGTATCATAGGGAACTAAAGGTTAACCTTTTTGGGTATATAGGGATTATATAGGGACTATACGACCCCAAAAAGGATTAAAGGTTACCTGCTCTACTACTAGGTAAACAATCTCAGCCCTGAAACCTACCTGGACCCCGGAAAACCTAGTTTTGTGGGGTCCCCTGCTAGGAATTTCCAACAAGCAGGCTTTTTAGGGGTCAAGGCAGACCTTTACCCTGAAGAACCTACCTTTTTAGGGTTCCCTATTATGATTTCCTTATATGAGTCCTTAAGAAGGTAGGTTCTTCAGGGTTAAGGGACCCCATAAAGGGTTTAGGGTTTAGGGTTCCTGTCTGTCTGTCTGTCTGTATGTCTGCATGTCTGTCCCTCCTGATAGAAGCATGCGGTGCCGCAGGAGAACGAAGACCCCGACAGCTTCAGTCTAGTACTTTGGGCCGTTGTACTTGGGATTGGGTTTAGGGTTCAGGGGTTCAGAGTTTTGGGGGGTAGGGATTTTCTGGTAATGCTACAATCTTCATGACTCCCACCCCTGCGTAAGAGTCGGTTTCAAGTTTTGCCATACTTGATGTGCTGGAAACCAGAACCCTAAACCGTGAAGGCTCCAAAAACGAACCCACCACCCAAAAAAAAACAAAAACTTTATGCTTTCATCTTATGATTCAGGGTTTTAGGGGTTTAGGATGTATGGAATTGGAATAGCAGTTACTGTTGCCGATCCTGCTTGAAAGGGTCTCGTTTCGGCCATTCATAGAATAGCAATGTTCAGCCTCTGCATAGGGAAGGCGTCCAAATGACTATTGTGCAATTCAAGTAAAGTCCTTCCCTAGCATCGATGCCGACTGTGATGAGCAAAGCGAAAATCTTTACAACATTGCATCATCATTCGCGCTCTGGACGCTCTTGCGAACCATCTGGTCACGAACATATGTATAGACCTTGCTGGGGTCACTCTTGCCGTCTGTGATGGAATGCTCCTTGAAGGATGTTGTCGTCAAGGCACGCAGGTACTTTTTGGCTGTGCTCACCCTCGTCTCAATCTCCTCAATGTTTGGGAAACCCGTAATTCCATACAAACGCCTTTGAGTGCGAAACCCATAGTTTCAAGCAAGAGGTTTTAATGGGCTGTAGTAAGGGCAACCCCTAGTTCCGTACAATTTCCCCTGCCCCCAGGTGGGAGTTTCCGAAAATCTAAACCCAAAGAACAAGCGAGTACTGCTGCGACACGTTCCAGTCTGCAGAACGCTAGCACTCTTAGCAGGCTTCTTGTCGGAGGCCTCAAAAGGTGGGATGAAGGTAGGTGGGATATTCCCAAATAAGAGTCCCTATATAAGGGATCCTTAAACCTACCTACCTTCATCCCACCTTTTGAGGCCTCCGATCTTGTCAGAACTGCAGGTATTGCCGAAAGCGCCTCCTTGATTCCGTCGCAGCAGGAGTTTCCCATCGGCTCGGATAGAACGACAACGGAGCCAAGCCGCCAAGTGAATGTCTACTGCGAAATTAACAGTTTTCACAGCGAAATCAGCTGGGCTGTGTCATGAAGCTCTAAGATACTGTTTGTTATTTCTGCTGCGTTTTGCCCCTCGAAACCTGAATCCAAAGGTTGGTGATATCAACCCTGCATTACCTTAAGGAACCTAAACTATGGGATTTATGGTATATTCCTTATTATGGGTAATGCAGGATTTATAGCATCAACCGTAGGGGTATGTGGGGGATGGCCGCTACAGTCAGGCAGATGATCCGTTTCGGAGATCCCCGTGGCATGACTGCAGCGCAAGGTAACAGCAAAACGCTATACCCTCTTGCAAGCCCTACAAGCCCAAAGCCTAAACATGACTCAACAGTAAACCCTAAACCCTATAACTACACCCCAGGCACCATGTATAAAACCTGAGAACCCCAAACCCATCTAAACCCACAAAAAGCTGCCAGGTAGCTCGCTCGAGACGCTTCTCCAAGCGCTGCTTCGTCCGTACCAGCTGACGCTGTTGCTGTTGCACCTGACGTGAGGGTTGGGGCTTATAAAGGGGTTTAGGGTGTAGGATTTAGGATTTAAGGTCCAAACGCACCAAAGCTTCACAGACTTGGAGGGAACGTGGAGTTCGCTGTGAATCTGCAGGGTTTGCAGGATGGGAATATCAGATGAGTACAAAGATAGATATAGGGAACTGCCCTTATAGGATCTTATTGGAATCCTAAACCCTACCCCAAAAAATACTGAACCCTAACCCCCAAGCCCAAAAACCCTAAACCCTATTTGGACGGTCGGGGGACTTAGCAAGTGGTTGCTTTATGGACTTTAAGTACCATAAGTCTCCTTCTTACCTACTTCCTATGCCCCGACCCTCCAAGCAAACCTTCGGAGTCTACCCCAACTACCTTCTAATGTATCCTAAATACCCACGACTAAGAACCACAAGGGCTCTAACTAAGGGCACTTGGGGGGGGGGGGTCCTGACAAACCCCAAACCCCAAGCCCCAAAACCCCAAGCCTAAAACCCTAAACCCTATAAACCTTATAAACCCTTCAAAACCTATAGGGTAAACCCTATAAACCCTACAACCCTCTAAACCCATAAACCCTTAACCCTGGCAGTCCCGGCCCTGCAGTTAACCCCTCGCCTCACGGTCATGCGCGGCATTGGCAGCCTAGCTGGGAGGGATTTTAGGGCTGTGGGCTTTTAGGGTTTAGGAATGAATAAGGCGTAGAGTTTTTAGGGGTTTATAGGGTAGAGGATCTTTTGTGGGTTTGGGGGTTTAGGGTTACATGGGATTTAAAGAGATTTAAGGGGTTAGAGCTTATAGGGTTCAGGGTTATAGGGTTTAGGGTTAAATAGACGGGTTATAGGGTTTAGGGCTTATAGGGTTAAGGGTTGTAGGGTTTAGGGGTTTAGGCTTATAGAGTTTGTGTTAAGGGGTCATGCGCCGCATTGGCAGCCTAGACTTGGGGCTCGGGCGTTCCTGTACGGGTTCTTGCAAGCATTCACATCGGGGACCTTAATGCTTGGAAGGAGGTTTCGCGCAAAATTATGACGGTAAACCCAAAAACGCTCTTGAATTATCTTACTAGTCATTCGAGCTTCTATCTTGGGTGCTTGTATGATACTGCTGGTGGACAAAATCCTGCATTACCCATTACAAGGAATAAACCATAGTTCCCATAGTTTAGAGTCCTTAGGGTCATGCAGGATTTTGTCCATCAGCAGTCTAGTGTACACTTTAATGCTGGGGGGCTTTGGGTTGAGGGCTAGGGTCCGAAGCCATGGGGATCATGGAGTGCTGTAGCCTTACCTGAAACCGGAATAACCTACCTTCTTCAAGGACTTATATAAGGAAATCAAAAGAATGAACCCTAAAACGGTAGGTTATTCAGGGTTAGTAGGGACTCTATAATGCTGAAAGCTGATGCTAAGGGTTTATAGAGCTTAGGTATCTGGGGTTTAACGTTTAGGGATTTTCTGCTTGGACTGTGAGCTTCTCCCAGCGATCCTCATACTTGCTACGGTTTCCTTCTGGAACCATAAGGAAAGCCCCCAAAAAAACAGAGAAGATGATTTAAGGACCTTCAGGCGCACATGCATAAGCCTTTAAAAATAAAGCCTACGTCGTTTTATTCGCATTCCTTGGTGAGGCGGTATTCGGCTTTTGTCGGCTCCTCGTCTGGGGCTTTTTCAATGACACGGTTCAAGGGTGTTCCTATCTAGGGAATCCAGGGTTTTCTTTTAAGTTGATATGCACTCCCTTTCTCCAAGAGGCGCTGGCCAGGGTTTAGGGGTTTGGGGGTTTAGAGTTTAGGGTTGGGGATTTGAATGTTAGACCCTTACCGCCGAGCCCTGTCCTAGATCCATGTTCGCTCCCTTAACTTGTCCCTATTCTAGTCATTATGATCCCGTCTATCATAGAACCCTAATCCCTAAATTATAGAAACCCTAAATGCACCTCGATCCCCAAACCTTAAGGCTCAGGGTTGAGGGTTGAGGGTCGGACTGAAGCCAGGGTGACCTGAATTTTAGGACACGCGGTCTTCTGCTTTACCGGGAACTTGGAGGGTCGGGGGACTTACTAAGTAGGTATAATAAGTAGAGTTATAAGTACCCTAAAAGGGACCCTAATTGGGGTTATGGTACTTATAAGTCTCCAAAATTACTAGTTACTACGTCCCCCGACCCTCCAAGAAGTGAACGGACCCCACCAGGGGGAGGTGTCGAAGTCATGAGGTCTCCACGAAAGGCAGCCGCTGAGGTGCGGCGAGCCCAGCAGTCGGGACTGGGGAAGCCTGTCGTGTCGGGGCGAAGTCAATCTGGGTGTCCCGGCCATTGCTACTTAAAGGGTCATGGGACTTAGTAACTAGGGTTATAATTAAAGTAACTATGCTTATAACTACTTATAACCCCAATTAGGGTACTTATAACCCTACTTACTAAGTCCCATGATCCTCCAAGTAGCATTGATAAAGGTCTCCGCAGGTTTGCCAGCCCGTCACCAGGCGTTCGACGCTTGCAGGGTGAATGTGTGCAGGAGAGCTTGGAACACATCCTGGTCAGGCGGTAGGCGACTGATCCTGGCACGGATGCCAGGGCCCCCCACAGGACTCGGAGGTTAATTAGTCCGTGTTGAAGTCGCCAAGAAGCATGGGGAAGCTCGAGAGCTTGTGATGAAGACAAGTCCAGAGCTCGGTGCGCTTGGTGAGCGCTCGGTCGAAACGAGCATGGCCTGAGGCGTCCGGAAGGATGTCAGTGAGCTGGAGATGCTGGAGGGCTGTGGAACTCACGGTGGGTCTTAGGGTTTACTTAGTCACGAAGTTCATACGCCACATAGTCCAAACTTTCAGTTCGACGGGTAATCATGTTATCCGAAAGGCTTACAGGTGCTCTCATTCAGCTACTAAGTTCATGGTCTAGGGCTTAGGACCCGCAACCTCAGTCTAGAGTGGCTGAGCCCTACATGCGATCTGCCCTAACCCAAAACAACTATGACATCAGAAGCAAGAAACCTTAGGAGCCATGGGCACTATGAATCAAAGCGTCCCCTCTATAGTTGCTGAGCTCATCGCCCCGCAAAAGTGCACACTTCCAGTTCTGTAAGGGTGAATAGTATCCTAAGTTTAGGGTCCAAACACACACTCCCCCAACCTACATACGAAAACCAACACCCCAAACCCAACCTAACCCTAAGTCCTAAACCCCCTAAACCCTGCCCTAAACCCCTAAACCCCTAAACCCTAAACACCTAAACCCCTAAACCCTAAACCCAAAACTCCTAAAACCCTTAACCCTAAAAACCCTAAAACCCTCAACCCTAAACCCTAAACCCCTAACCCCTAAACCTCTAAACAACGACCGTGCGCGCCTGGAGTTCACCTGCCCGGATCTGCGCGACCTCAAGGGCCTGAATGAGGCGAACAGGGCACCCAAAAAAGCCACATTTTAAGACATTTAAGAAATGCACCTTACCCTAAGGCTCCCGGACCCTTGTAGTGAGATCCCGAACCCTAGCCCTAGCTCCCAAAGCCAAAACCCTCCCTGGAAAGCCCAAGACCCTCTTAGAAGCTTTAGGGTCAACGCCAGTAGGATCCCGATCATGATCCAAGGTATATTCCCCAGTCGAGGGCGTACCTTGAGGTGCTTAGATAGGGCCAAAATAGCACATAAGCAGAAACTAAGAATAGGGATGCGGATTTAGGGTGTAGGGCTTCAGGTTCTAGGTGCCCTAATTAAGCTAGTCAGGCTTACGACTTCCCTCTCATTTTGCTAGATGCCCTGATCTTGTGTTAATTGCTACCACTTGGAGGGTCGGGGGGACGAAGTAAGTTTTAATAAGTAGACTTATAAGTACCCTAAGCGGGATCCTAAAGTGAGTTTATGATATGTTCAAATCTGTAAACGAACTTCTAACTACATCCCCCGATCCTCAAAGTGTGCACCCCCTGGCCTGCAGGGCAGATGCCACAGAAAGCTCCTGCACTTCTCGTTCCCACTCTTGGTACCACAAACCAAGGTTTACAGCTTGGATGCTGAGTTCATAAGCTCCAAAAAAATGTACACTTTCTGCTTTATAGTGGGTAGTATTACTTGGGTGTAAAGTGTATCCACTCAGCTACTAAGTAAGGCTTGGGGCTCACTACTTGGGATTGGGGGTTTGGGATTCCAGATTTCGGGGTTTTCAGCAAGGTGTATCTTGCTTGACCTGGTCGACGCAAAGCTCTTGAAACTGTTGAAACTTATGGTTTTTCCAGGAAAACTCACCAATCGCCTTAGTAGTAGAGGCGGCTGTTTCCTCTGACTCACATTCAGTTCTCAATCAGGAGGCACCAGGATCAACCGGCTCTACCGGAGAACGCGGTCACGAGGCTTTAATGTAGAGGCGCTGATGATTAGAATAGGGTGCTGGGCCCATTGTACCATCGTAGATAGATAGACAGCTAGGTCGATGGAAGGGGACTGTCCGGGACCAGTATGACTACTTATTGCATCAATTGCATCTAAACCTCAACGACTGAAACTCACAATCTTAAACACTATATTATACTGGGGTGTGCTTCCAAATTCGCACCACCCGAAACCCTAAACTCCAAGCCCGAAACCAAACCCTAAACCCTAAACCCCCCCTGTCACGTCTCACCTCCTGGAGGAAGCTCTCGCGCTTCTCAGCCAGTTTCTCCTTCGGCTCGAGAGTTTAGTTTAGGTATTGCCCCCCACGAGCTAGGGTTTAGGGTTAAGGGTTAAGGGTTTAGTCTCACTTACAGAAAGCCTTGTAGAAAACCTTATACCGCATATTTGTCTTATAGTAACTCCAAAAACCCTTGTAAACATTGTCAACCCTGAACACGAAAGCGCAAGCTGCCCTGAACCCCGAAACAAGAAGACCCCTAATTAAAGTCCTTACACCTCTAAACTCCAAACCTCGGAACCCCAACAACCCATGTAAACCCCTAAGCCTCAAATAAAAAAGAAAACTATACTGAAATTAGAACCCTAGCAAAAGTTATAATTTTAGCTGTTTCTTAGGGATTATAATAACCAAAAATGAAAAACTATTTCTAAGGTTCCCTAAGACAACCTTTGGTCTTCAAACACCCGCTGAGGCCGTCCTCCCGCTGCCAGACATGTCCCTCCAGGTCGTTAACCTCAGGCCGGTTTCGGGTTTAGGGTTTAGGGTGCAACATCGAGAGCTTCAATAATCAGAAAGGGTGTTTTTGTTCGAGCTTCTTTTCTGCGAAAGCCCGAAGGTCTTCGAGAGGCGCGAGCGCCAGGACAGCAGAAAGGGCTTATTGTTTAGGGCTTGGTGTATTCTCAGGTATAATTATGTACACACACATGTGGCTCTCCCTCTACATCCCTGAAATGTCATCACCCCGGGGTGAGAAACACCATATTCATGAGAAGTCCGAATAAGAATTCCTCTACAATGAAAGGTGTATTTCATGATTGCCTTTCTACTTACGAAACCCATAAAGAAAGAAGATCCGCTTTAGAACCCTGACCCAGGCATTCCAAGGAATATATCTTAGACTATAGTAGGATCCCTCACATGACTTAGGGCATATTCCATACTTATGTTTGGGAGGTCTGGGTAGAAAACCAGTGGGGTGTTCAACTGGCTTACTTCTGAACCCTTCCTAAAAGTTAAACTTACAGCCTCCTTATTCTGATTCATATAGAAACCCCAAAAGTTAAAGTCCCAAGAGCCAACCAGAAGAACGCAGAAAAATGAGACTTACGGCTCCCGGTTCAGGGTTCAAAATCGAGGGAATTAAACGGCTTAAAACAGAGTCTTGTGAGGAATTCAAAAACCCGAAGGACATGATTTCAGTGGTGATAAGTCCAAAACCTACCTTAAGTAAACTCCAGCATTCGTTGTGGTGCCGAACTGTTCTCCAAGTCTCAAAACTGACCAAGGGTTCAGGTACCCAATAACCACAAACTCTCCCAAATCCTAACCTACATAACTACTACTTGGTTGGCTGCCGGACGGCCCCGAAAAATAAACGTAGGTTTGAGATGTACAAATTTGTGTGCAACATGCGAAGTGTCAAAGTAAAATCGTGTGCAACATGCAAAGAAATGTGCAAATACCTATGTGGACATGCATACTTTTGTTTACGTTTTCGGGAGGGACAGAGGGCCGCGTTCAACAAGATGTGCAACAGCAGGCGATCTTTTGTAATGGCCAGGAAAACAGCAATCATCGATGTGCAGGCGGCACCAAGACCTGCAGGCAAGGATGCTTTCAATTGCATGCATTTAACTGGTTGTAGTTAAACTACTGCAAAGGAGCGCTGGCAAGCCGATCCTTTTTTGGAGCAGCAGGGCGACTGTCGCTTCTTGCGACTGCGATGACTCTCACTTCCTGCGACTGCGACGACTGTCACTTCGTGCTGCGACTGCGACTCACGGCTGCGCTGCCGGCCTGGCCAGGGCCCACGACTCGCTGGGCCTTGTGCATCCACGAGACCAGGTCCGAGATGGAGTTGATCTCGTGTGCCTCTTCGGATGCTGCGGAAGAAGGCCGCAAAATGCTGAAACCTTCTTCACGCAGCACCCTCAGCAAATCACACAGGTCCCGATGTCGCTCCTCAAACCGGCTTGTGACCTTGGCCCTTGTGGCGGTGGATCCCTTGTCCAGTCTGATGCAGGAGCGGGGGCAGCGACAATCCGCGACCACGACACCGTAGGCGGTGGCTGCCAGAGCTGCACCAATAACCGCTGCCTCCGACTCCGACTTCCACGGAAAGCCACGCCGAATATCCTTGACGAGCACGGCCTCGCAGAGCCTCGTGGCCTGGAAAGCGTGATTTGCAGTCTTCTTGTCAGGCAACAGCTTCTTTTCGCGACATCGAGGCCACGATTCCGGCTTCATCTCCGACCCGGACAGGTTCAAGACAATGCCCACGACCTCGACTGGCGGCTGCCACAAGACCCGCGTGCGCTTCGGCTCCGGAACTGCCCAGGCCTTTCCAGTTCTCTTCAGCCGCTCCCGCTGAGAAAAGTTTTCCTGCTTCTTGGCAGCGGTATTCTGCTCATACAGCGCCAGCTTGTGGGTCCACCCCGGGTGCTTTTGCGAGGGTGCCGATGCCCAGGCATCGAACTTGCAGGATGCCTGGGTAGGGGCCACGTTGGCCACCAGCCTGGGAGCAGCTCGCTCCACCAACGTGTCGCAGGCAAGGTCCCGGTTGGCAGCCGCAGTGTTGTGGCACCCCTTTCGAAAACGACGACGAGCTCCATCGCGAGCACGACGACGACGAGCACGCTCGTCGTTTCGCCTCCAGGGCTGCACGCCACCTTTGGTGTAGGCATTGAAGCGCCTCCCATGAGATTGGACCCAAAGCTCAGCACACCGGAAGCCCAGGGGCGTGAGAGCAAAGCTGGTGACGACCTCCACAGCCGTAGCGATCTGGGGGACCTCGACATCGACACCTCCTCCACTGCTACTCACCCGCTTTGCAAACGACTCTTCAGACAGAGGAGAAAATGCGAGGAAGGTAAGGCTTTCGACCGTGTTGGTGTTCATGGGTCCACAATGTGCCTCTAATTGTTTGGTGACACAGCCAAGGGCACGTTCTGTCCTGCCAGTCCCTCCTGCGAAGGAGTTGTAGACATGCACGATGCAGCGCAGCTCGTTCGGTAGGTTACCCAAGACTGTTTGGCACAATCCCGGGTTCATCACCACACCCCAGAACGGGCGGTTGTCTTGCGACTGCGACACCGACAGCGACCCACACCCTTCCTTGACGAAGTACTCGGCAAAACCAATCAGCTGGTGCCAGGCCTTATTGACGAACTCCGGGCAGGAACTTTGATTGTATGCCTTGCACAACCTGCCAAGCTTGCGCTTTGCCTGCTCGCAGAACTGCGTGTACTCAGCAGCCCGGTTGGAGGAGGAAGACGGCGACTCAGGCTGCAACGCCGACTTCCACTGCCACAAATCGAAAACGCTGAGGTCGGTGGCGAGGCAATCGGAGAAGTCAGCATGCAGCCTGCGTAAGCACAACTTCGTCACCAGCTGTGCCGACCTGAGGGCCTCCAACACCTGGCTCTTGCCATCCGATGTCCACAAATACTTGATCTGACCCTTGCAGATCAATGGCGGTGCTTCCATCAGCGTGGTGATGGCTGTGCAAGTCGCCGTCTCCATCTGCTGCCCTGCGTGGCCACCAGCTTGCGCTTCGCCCAAAACTCGCCCCTCTAAGAACAGAAGCTCCATGCGGCTCATCCAGTCCTGCAAAACGAGAGGAGCTGTTCCGTTGTGAATCCCCGTACTTCTGATATTTCTTACATACTGAAGCTCTGTTTAAACTTATCTCTAAAGACCACCCAGCCCACTACTACTAAAAGCACTCATGCGCCCTTAAAGTAGCAAGTTGCATGTGTGAGGCAGTCCTGGACGATGCGACGGACGACCGCGGGATCACGACAATCGACATCGAATTGTCGTATGAGCCGGGCACTTTCGCATCCGAAGTCTGCACCAAGCCCGGCCAGTGCAGCATGCCGAGGGCTCATGGAATCAAGAAGAGTCTGGGCCTTCTTCTTCTTGACGGCATCGCCCTCAGCAGATACCGTCACCGCGCAAAGTAAGAGGACCGATGACAGCAAGCAGCAATACACATGATGAGGGTGCGCCGAGCTCTCGAAGCGTTGCTTGGCATAGCGGAAATGCCGCATGATCCGCTGCAGGCCTCCGCCCTGCTCGCCGCTGTCCTCGACCACGACACGTTGAGCCGCTTCCAACTCAGCTCGCCATGCTGCGGAGTTCTGAATTGATGGCACGAACGACTCCTTCGACTCCCACACGACCGCGATGTACTCGGAGAAGAGCTTCTCCCGTGCCAGTGCCTCGCCGGTTGCCCGCCGGATCAAGTGCGATGGGTCCTTGCCCAGTAGCATCAGCTTGGGAAACACTGATTGCAAGTAGCGGAAACCTTTCTGTAAACTGGCGGCCCCATCGCCCATCACCGAAAGCAGCGTAGATTTCAGCCGCTCGCAGAGGGTCTCGTCCTTCTCGCAGATATCATCAATTGCTTTGACAACGGTGTCTGCTACCTTTTGGCAATACTCGACCTCGAACCCCTCCAACGATTCCGACGACGACGGCAACTCCGACACGCAAAGCAAGCCTTGCTTGCGAATCGCCTGCGACACCGAGTCGACCTCCTCCACAACGCTGGCCTCGTAGGTGAACAGACGGTACTGCTTTCTGTCATCCAGCGTCAAGCACCATGCCTCCGCTTTGGACAGATCTCGCAGCACTTGCTCCTTCACGGCCCTGGCCATCACCAGGCACATGGCCTTGAGGCTTTTCCGCTGATCCAGCGGGCCAGCACGACCGCGACTCCCTTCCGACAAAAACGACAGCGTGCCTTGGACCTGGTCCGCGGCCGAAAACGACAGCGAGCTCTTGCAACAGCGCCAGGCATAGATCCAGTCTTTGACCTGCGGCACGTGCCCTCGCAGCAGCGATTCCTGATCTTCGAACTCAGCGCAGTCCTCCGGCAGCAGTTGGAACAGGGGCCGCTCCGGCTCCACCCAAAGCTTGAGCGCTCTTCGGTGAACTCGGGAAGCTTCGTGAGCCCGGATCACCGACGGCTGCATTGACAAGGAGGACGACAGCGACACCTCGTACCGACCAAACTTTGTGCTGAACGCAGCATAGCGGCTCTTCTTTAGTGGGCACTCGGCGGCAGCCCTGGAAGCTTCCAAAGCCAGCTTGTTGCAAACAACACAACCCATGCCTTTCCCATTGAAGCTAAGCCAGGTAAGCTTGGTTCGACCACGAGGGGTGTCGATCACGCTGAAACCACACCTTTCCGGCGCATGCAGTTTTATGACCGGTGCTACCGCTCAAAGTGCGGAGCAAATCTCCTACTGACAAAACAAAGATAATCAGATGTTGCTTGCGACTACATCCAAGGCACTCCTGCTTCCATTTCTCTCCAAAGCATCTCCACATCGACTGTGATGTGGCCCCTGGTTTGTATTTTTTGCTCTTTTGATCGACAGACTTCGCCTTGGGCTGCTTCTCGTGAACTTCTTGCCGATCTGTCTTTCCCTTGCGCTCCGCGCGCTGTGTCTCAACCCCTTTGCTGGACAGACTGTCTCTCCCGGCCGGCGCCCCATCGCCGTAAAT